CTCTCTCTCTCTCTCTCTCTCTCCCTCTCTCTCTCTCTCTCTCTCTTCCTCTCTCTCTCTCTCTCTCTCTCTCTATCACTTTCATTCTCACTATTTCTATACATTTCTATATAGCTTACAAAAAGAATAACGCTTACCTCAATGAATATGAAGAAAAAGTACTAAACATAATTATAAGACTAGGTATGTGTATTCGTGCTGTATTCTCCCAATGCTCGGAAATCTGAAAAAAAGTAAAAAGTTATATTGCATTAGTATAGTATAAAGAAAATCAAATATATGAGTGTATATGTACGTATGTGTCGAATTACCCATACTGTATCTATACACATATATATACGTGTACGTGTATTGTGTATATGTATATATGATGTATGTATATGTACATGCATATGTATAGATAAAAATGTTAAAATAATACAAAATATGATCGATGCTAATTAATTAATGAAAGATCAGAAATAAAGCATTATTACTGAGCAAAAGATATATCGATATTTCGGAAATAAAACTAAAAATATTTAAAAAGAATTTTTTCACGTAACCTTCGAAAAGATTGACTAAGCTGACTTTATTTTCACCGATATTTTTTTAATTCGACAATGTCTCTACTTACAAATAATAGATGTTAAAAAGCACATTTCAAAGAATCGATTGATATATAGTATGATAATGAACGTTAAGATAAAATTATGTTAATTACCTCTAATTACGAGACGATGATTATCCTTATAAATTTCGTATGCTGCCAAAATCCAACATGGCGATTTCATTCGAATTATTATCCAATTACGATTCCCGCCGTGCATGCGTACAATGCCATTTTACTTGTAACCAATCAACGGGCTCATATGTAATACATTATTTCGCGCTAATATTTAAAATGTATGAGATAAATAAATATAATATACGAATATATAGAACATTGAAACGGATATTTTATTGATTCTAATTGTTAAAATAAATAAAATTATTAAATATAAATATTTTATTATAAAATAAATTATTAAAAATAAATAAAAAAGTTTATGTACAGAAAATCAGTAAAATTTTAATAAAAAATAGAAATATCGAATTATATTGATGTAATTTAACTTTATATATAACAAACATTAAGAGATTCTTATATGTTTTTTATATGTAATTTATTTATTGTATTAATTAAGAAAGGTATATCCTCGTTTATTTTTTGCTGACTATATCGAATAATATCATTGAAAAATAAATTTCCGCATTCCTTAATTATTTCAACACGTAAACATCATGCAATAACAATTACAATTGAAAAAGTTCATACATAATCTCATATCAATAGTAGTATGTTCCTATTATCATTATAGCATTATCGATGACTAGACTAATATTAACTATGAGAAATACGAATTTTATTTCTTTTTATTCTTCAATAAGATTTGAAAAATGTTATTGCATAATATCTCTTTATCTTGCAAAATATTAAGTAACTAAAAATTTAATGTGAATAGATGTAAATAAAATTCTAATAGAGAATAGAAGTATACATATATTCCTTATTTATAAATTAATGTAATTAATCATTTACAAATGATGCTTGCTCCCATTAGAGATTTCTAATGCTTCTTAGAAAGCAACTTACCTATATAGAATTATTTTTACAACTCGTTCATCTACTTTCATTATAAAGATATGTATGACGCATATTCTCGTATAGCAAAGTACACACGTAGAAACATATATGCACATATACACGTATGTATATTATTGGGAAATCCCAAGCTGTATAAGTAGTAGTGCCGAGCCCATACAGTAATGTCTAAACCAAGCTCACGTTAGTCTCACAATCAGTCATGTTTAAAACGTGAATGGGTTAAGTACTTGCTATTTCGAATATTACCTGTTCATTTCCGTGTCAAAATAACATCCTTTTGGAAGAAAGTAAGTTCAAACAAATTTCATTTATTCTGACCTTTTCTTTTTTTTACTTGCATACACTCATAACCTTTACAAAGAAAAAAAAAACATATTTAGCATTTATACTTCTTTTTCTAATGATATTTAATTATACATCTCTGTAAGATTATAATTAAATCTTTGTAAACTTTATGATTAATCAAATACTTTTTTCTTTTAATAGTACTTTTCATACCTTTAATACCTTATATACATGTAGATTAGAAATTGTTATTTAATCTTTTCCAAGTATATTTAAATACCACAATTGCTTTATTTCAATAAAGTTAAATTGTTTAAAGAGGTAAGATAAAATGATAAATTCTATTTCAGATATGACACATCTTCTAAATATAATTAAATATTGTATCTTTCTTCAAAATAATCTAGTGAAATTAAACGTACTATAGTCAACTTATTATTGTTACAGATAAGAGAGATATTTATCATTTGTATCGTGTTCTCTTAAGTGCAAGCAATTTTAGAAATAAATAAGTTAAAGTATAAGCAACATGTCATATTCGATTCAATTCTTGATACGACATACACAATTACGCATGATGAAGATTAAAAAGCTTTTTAATCTTTGGATTTTGTATCTTTCTTACAATTAGATTTTATTTTAGATATTGCATGCATTACTTTTAAGTGCTTGGATTTTGTATCTTTTATTTTCAATTATTTTAAATTAAGCGTACTGTGTTGCTATACCATTTCAATATCGATAAAATAAAATATTTATTAAGACCGTAATTCTAAAATGACCTTGTATTGTTACCGTAGCATTAATATTTGATATCTAAAAAATGTATAGCATCTTATAATTATACCGCTCTGGAAAAATGAAAGAGTTACATTATAGTCGATATATTAATCAAATCAAATATTAAAAAAAGAAAAATATATATAAGTGAGTGGGTTGCAAAGTTGTAAGCACCAACAAAAAAAGAACTTTTATTTTTTAAAATAAAAAAATTGTTTCTATGTTAAACTTATAACTTTTCAACCTACCCAGGTATATATTTGAAATAAATCATCTGTAAAATCATTTTCACCTGTTTTTCAGCCAGCACGATAAGAATAACCATGTCTAATAATCTAAATTGGCGATGGATATTATTTTATCTGCTTGTAGCGTACGTGCGATCATCTAGTCAGGTAAAAATAAAACTTTATTACGAATGAACGAAAAATAAAAGAAATGATTGTTTAAGATCGCCATTTGATTGGAATGAAATGTTCTATTTAAAATTAGGTATCGACGCCAGCTTCAAAAGAGTATATAGCTGCAGTAGTAGAATTCGCACCAAATAGCATAGCTAATAACAGCAAAGAGACTATACAATCCAATGTAGCTAGGTATGAGGATCTCATATGTGATGCTAGCGCACAGGTAAATAGATTTTTTTCAAATTACCATTTAACTTTGGTATTCCGTTTTTATACCTAATAAAACATCAATCTTATTAAGTTAGTTATTTCAATTTGTAATAAAAATTGATAATATTTATCATCAATTTTCGTATGTATCTTATTCTTTAAATTTTTTATATTCGTTTTTTATTTTTTTTATGACATAAAATCGCATTGTACGATCTCTCGTCAATCTTTGTTTCTACTTTCATCTTTATTTCATTTACCGATCGTTCCATGATTTAATCTGGCTACAAGGAAAACGTTAAAAGACCAGACGAGGAAACTTCTTAATAGAAACAACTTCCTCTTTTACGTGGAAAGCTTAATAACAGAAAATATCCTTCAATCAAATATATGAACTCGATTAATTGGAAATCCTGAAAATTATAAATAAAATTAACTAATGTTACATACGATAATTTTTGTTATATTATAATTTTTTTCAGAATGCCGATATCATTGTTTTTCCCGAAGATGGCATAACTACTTATCATCTTCCAAAAAAAAGTGAAATGGACTTAGTCTCAACGGTGATACCTTCCGCTAGATTTACACCTTGTACTCAAAATATGGATGGCATGACCGAGGTAAACTCATCATTCCTTTTTATCTTCAGTATTAATGAAAAAACACCCAAGTTATTTTCTTTAGCTCTATAAATAAAAAAGTCATTACTTCAATTAAGTAAATTATTACAGGTGTTGAAAAAAATATCGTGCGCAGCTATGAAAAATAAAATCTACGTTGTCATTAATATAGCCGAGAGAGCACCCTGTTTTGATAATGAATGTCCAAAAGGTGAATCATTGTATTATAACAGCAACGTTGTTTTCGATCGCAATGGCACAGTAATCGCAAAGTATGAATTTCTAATAATACATTTAGAGATTACTTTAACAAGGAAAAGATAAACGAGACCATGAATTAATGCAATTATTTTTTACTCGTAGATATCGCAAGCAAAATCTTTATCTGGAACCTCAATTTAATACTCCTAAACATCCAGAAATTGTGACTTTCGAAACTGATTTTAATGTTACTTTTGGAACGTTCATTTGTTTTGATATTCTATTTGCAGTACCTGCTTTAAATTTAACAAGAGATCTTGGAGTTACCGATATTGTTTATACGACTGCATGGTTTTCTGAAACTCCGTTCCTAACTGGTACATCAAATTCAAATCTAATTCTAATTATAAATATCTTTTCTCTCTTTCTTTTTCTCTTTCCTTATTTATTTAGATTATATAAACAACGAAATAAATTATTTATTTTAGCTATTCAAACGCAATTCGGTTGGGCGTTCGCAGAAAATGTAAATCTTTTGGCAGCTGGATATAATGATCCTTCAGCAGGTAATTCAGGCAGTGGTATTTACCATGGTACGTACAATAATTATTAATTAGTTCAGTGTTTAAATATTCATTGAAATAAAATCTAATTATGAAATAAGTACATGTATAATAAATATTGTAACACCAAATTTTAGGTAGTAATCATACAAATAAGGTCAAGCTATCATATAAACCAACTACCGAATTAATAATTGATATAGTTCCTAAGAAAATACATACACTGAAAAATCAAGAAAATAAAAGCACAAAACAACACGTTCACGTTCACGATGAACTCAGGAGAAAACGTGAAACAACCAATGTGAACAATTTGAAATTGTTACGTGACAATATTACTTTGTTCAAGACGGAAGTATTGAACAGCAATATTTCCTCAAAAACATTATGTCATCATGATCATTGTTGCAACTTTACAGTTAAAGTAAACAAAATTGATACGAAAGTAAAATATCGATTGGTTGTATACAATGGAACCCGTAATTATGCTAACATACGTTACGCTGGTACACGTGTTTGCTCAATAATACAATGTTCCGATGATACCCTCGAGTCTTGTGGATCTACTCTGGACTCTCAAACGACTTTCCAGGAAATCAGCATATCAGGAAGATTCGACGGGTCAAAAAATTCATTGATCATGCCGAATACTTTGAAAACTGACATGTTACCGATTATGGAATTTTCGTACGAAGAACACTTACATGATGATCACAAACATATTTCAATCATAAGTTCAAACAAAATGTTAACGAATCTTGTAACATTTGGCGTTTATTGTAGAGACTATGACAAGGATCTAAGTAATGCTGCTATTTCTAACAATATCGCCTATTCGTTTTCAATCCTAATGGCATTCTTATTATCACGTTTCTGGTGATAACTATTCCATTAAATGTCTTCCTAAAGTTTACATAGAAATGTGCATATATATATATAAGTAATGTTTTATATTTTTCTTTACATGTTTATATTTTAACCTGTTAACTGGGTATGACAAAATATTTATCAAACACGAACTACTACTGCAATGGGAGTGATATTATTACTTATAACTATGAAAAAAAGACTCCCCATTGTGAAACGAGTTGAACAAAAGTTTATTCCCTGGTTAAAAGGTTAAATAATTGATATTATTGTTGTAAAATATAAAAAAAGATAGTATTTTTGTCTGTGATGTCTTGGTGTACTATAAAAAGAGTATATAAAAGTATATTTTATGTCTTACAAAAAGATATTTATCTTATTATTATTCAACCCACTTAATTAAATCATTAAAATATTATTCATTTTCAAGTTTAAAATTAATGATTCATAATCTTATCTGTCATATTTTATATAATAATAGCAATGATTTTAAAACAATTGAAATAGTAGATAAACATTTGAAATTATAAATAACTTAACATGATAAAACTAATCCAGAATTTTTCTATTGAAATATTAACCAAATGTGAGAAAGGACAATGATATTCGTAAATACAATTATAAATTTAACTTCAAAGATTATGAAAAAGAAAAGATATTTATCAGTGCCACTTGTAAGCTGCAATGCAAGTAAGTCATTCTTCTAATCAATAAAAATAATATTATCCCAAATATATTAAATAATTTGTATTATTTCTTTTAGATAGATATTCTCATACTGACATGCCATTACCAGATTTTAAAGAACGCGAAGCAGAATTAAAGAAAAACAAAGAAATAGTTCATTCAAATGAAGATCAAAAATGTTTAAACTATGCCGCATCCTTTGGTATGTTTAGTTATTCATAATATTTCATACTAAATAATAAATTAGAAATAAATATTTAATAGTGGCCGGAGTTGCTTCTATGTATACTTTCAAGTCGCATCTCTTACATTACATAATGTTTTTGGCACCATCTCGAGATGTAATAGCAACGGCTCAAACAGAAGCAACGTTGAGTAACATACCAGAAGGAAAAGTTGCTACTATAAAATGGCGAGGAAAGCCAGTTTTTATTTATCATAGGTGTAAATGATTACTATTATAATCTAAAATTAAAATTATAGAAAATAAAATAAGAAATGTAATTTCTTATTTACTATCAGAATGCAGGATACTATCGAACAAGAAAGAGATGTTAATTTGTCAATTTTGAGAGATCCTCAAACCGATGAAGAAAGAGTTAAAAAACCTGAATGGTTAATCGTCATTGGAGTTTGTACTCATTTAGGTTGCATACCTATTCCTAATGCTGGTATCATTCCGGGAGGATTTTTTTGTCCTTGCCATGGTTCACATTTTGATGGATCTGGTCGCATACGGAAAGGACCAGCACCTACTAATCTTAATGTTCCTGAATATAAGTTTATTAACAATGACACAGTAATTATCGGTTAAGTAATTACATCGGCTCCTTATTCATGTCAAAGAATTCATATTTAAAGAATTATTTCTAAGTTCTTATAATATATCTATTAATTTTATAACAAAAATAATAAACAAACAATTTTATACTCTTAAATAATTTTGAAAATTATTTAAGGCACTTTGATGATAGTAATTCTACGATTTTTAAGATAAATTACTTACACTGCCAGTTGACTGATGCTTATTTCAAAAATCACGGAAAATTAAGATGCAATTATAATAATGACAGGTTTCAAATGAATAAGAAATTCATTAAATGTTGCATATACCTTATATATTCATTCTGTTTCCTAAAACTGAGATCTATCATCCTGTTGTTGAATTAAAATAGCATCCAAATAATTATAACAATAAAATCAAATGATAATCCTGGGTCCATATTCATCTTTTAAAAAATATAAAAATCAGCGTGAAATGCATTGAAATGAAATCCAAAAAGTCAATTAATTTACGTATCATCGATTATATTAAATACCGCTGTGAAATATTATCATGAAATAAACGTATTTTTTAATGTTTACATAAATGCATTGATTTGTATGTCATTTCTACTCTCCTTCGTCGGGGAAATTGGAAGCGGAATGGGGATGGGCATGCGCCGTAAAATTACTGCGCAGTAGTCCTATTGCGCACCTCGACGAACTTAACCTGTAGTGTCCTTTCAGTCGTCGCGCATCGATATAGTGTTGTGTTTACGTATAAGCAGTCAAATTTATTTCACGATATTTACATCTTCTTCTCTTATACGTTCGTTTTTCAAACAGTTTCTATTATACAATATTAACATTCAATCGTAACAGTATTTCTATAACCAAAAATTTTAATTATATATTAATAATACAAAATTTGTTAAAATGACCCCACCTATGGAAAGGATCCAAATTTTAGAAAATATTGAAAAAGACATTATCGTGTGTTTACAAAGTGCAGGTATATTTAAAACGTTTTATTTATTAAATGTTTTATACTACTGTTGAATATATTTTGTTAGGCCATATCATTGTATATTTTTATCTTATATAGGCCAAGCATTTATGGAATTAAGTAAGGAAAAATCTAGTTTAAAACAAGCAGAAGCTCAAACACATCAATTTCTTAAAACTCTAGCTCATGTGGAATCGAAATTGAGCGAACAAATCAATTATCTCACTCAAGTTTCAACAGGTTTGTGAATACTAGAAATCTTAACCTCCAAATATTAACGATTTATTTTTTTTCACTGAACATCAGGTCAACCACACGAAGGTTCTGGATATGCAAGTCAAAAGGTTTTGCAAATGGCATGGCATAGGTTAGAACATGCTCGAAGCAGAGTTAATGAACTGGAGCGTATAAAAAATAAGCCAAGATAAGAAATTTATCTATTTATAAAATTTGTACTTTCCGGGAGACATCAACGTGTATATCATAACATGTAATAATGAATGAATTTCTTATTTTTTATTAAATCTCTAATACTTTTTATTTCATATTTCAAATCAGCTTTTATCGACAAGATTTAGTATAAGACAAATGACGCAGATTTGATAATATGATTTAATTTACAAAGTATGTAAAATCAGCACATTATGCGAAAACTTGTTTAGTTCATGAATAGATTCATGAACACGTTACTATATAAAAATAGATAAATAACATTTGACTATCTCTTAATGTTATATAATATAAATCTATGTCATAAACTTAAAGATATTTGAGAACATTCCAAGTACGATGCATCTTTTAGCGCATTAAGATGCATGCGAGTAGCATAGAGTAAATTCTAATTTGGTAAGTTTATTTCCTGATGATAAATTGTAAATCTTTAGGGTATGGAACTATCCATAGCAGCCATGCTACGTTTTACAGTAGCAGCTAACGAAAGTCGAGATCTTCTTTCTTCATCTAATTGTTTAGTAAGTAATGACATTTGTGACTGTAGGTCTGTCATTTGATTTTTTAAAGTTTTTACAGTTTCCGATAACGACCTAAACAAAATACAACATTAGAATGAAACAAATAAATTCATAAATTAGAAATTAAAAATAAGGTAAAATAATGTACCGGTCAGCACTACTATCCCAATTGACACCCTTCTTGTGCATCAATGATGCATCTCGTGTTCTTTGCCATTCGACATCCATCATAGCTACAATTTAAAATTTATTAAAATAAATGTATAATACATACATACAAATATACAGTATGCGACAAAACAAACAGTATGCAAAGTAACGATGGCAACACATATCTTTCTTATTGCATTGGTAAAGCATATGTTGAAAATATGCATCCTCATGGCTTATACATTGTTCACAACATTGTCGATAAGCATAGGTTGCAGTACTATTTGTTTAGCCGCTTACTATATATGCATAAGAATATATAGACTTACAATTAGACTCGTTAGAATTCATGGTAAATCTACTATTGACAGAAAGACAATAACTCTCTATTATTTTTAAAATCATTGCATCTTCTTCGAATTGACGGTTATCTGTTAAAACAAAAAAGATATAGTAGTGAATAACAGAGTATTATCTAAATTTTATAGTTCATTGATTATATGCATGAGTATATGATATTTACCAAATGTCTTGAGTGTATATAAAGGCGGGGCTGGACGTAACGAAGCAATACTCCAAGGCGTCTTAATCCCTGGAGATAAACAATGATCCACTGCCGACCGTTGGCGTTTCCCGTTCGTCTGACTGTTCATCTATAGAAAATAATTTAGTTTAAACATTAACTCTTTAAAAATTTTATTTTTGTTTAATCTACAACGAACTATATGAAGCATTTATAGAGCACACGCCCTACCTACAAAAAAATATACTAAACTATTAAACAAAGAAGTGGGCACAATGCATATTCATCATCAAACGAATGTAAAAAGGATGAATAATAATAATAATTATGATCGTTTCTACGTGATTCATGTTCCTTTCCAGTTATATGTATGTATTTTATGAATCATATGAGTGTTATGTTAGCAAAGCAAAAGCATTCTTCACACAACATGGCTGTGAAATATAAGCATAAAATCCTTGATGACCAATGACTATTAGTGGTGAAAAATCAGTGAAGGAAATCAATCCGATTGAAGAGAGAAAAAAAAAGGTAAAAAAATAAACAGCCATGCCATGGAAGCTTGCCTCGTTCTGTGCATCCTGATAATGGAATTGTTCTCTTGAGCCACCAATGAGCATATAATCCTGATCTATAAACTTGACCCGTTTGTTCGGGTTGTTCTTCGATAGTTGGTTGTACTGGACGGACCATTCTTTTTCCCTTTCTTTTAGAATAACTTTGATGTAAGTGTGGTATTGGTTCCGTAAATCTTTTGTGCTTAATATTTTCATAATCTTTAGCAGTAACCATAATATTTTTCTCTTTTTCTTCTTTCATATTATCGAATGCATCTTTATTAACATCTTTTTTAATATAGCTGGAAGAAGTCATTACCGTATTCGATGTCTTATTAATATTTTCTGTAGAAGGGAATGAACGTTCGCTATCTCTGGGTGTAGAACCAAATGGCGAAGTACAAATGCACTGATTTTCAAATTTATTTTCATCAATGTCGCTTTCGCTGTGGGATGCTCTTACTGGATCAATGTATTTACTATGACTGGATCTGTGAGATTTGTAACAAGAACCAAGTTCCGTTGAATTTAAATGAAAACTTTCAGCCATTCCAGAATCTGATGAATGCACACTGGTAGTAGGACATAAACGTTGATCATTTCTTAGATTTCCATTATCAGCTGTGTTTACAGGTGTCACGGAATCTCGAATAGTGAGATTAGAGATGTCTGGTGTTTTAGGATAAAGCTCGACAACGTCCCAACATTTAATGGTACCACCGCAAGGCATACGTTCACGTGGTACATCTAAATTTTCTCGATAATAATCATGTGTACGCGGTAATAAAATTGGTACAGCAGAAGTACTCGTAGAAAGTAATATGTTCGGCAGGACGTGGCTCGTAGCACGGCCAGCAGGTAAACTCTTGCTGGTTTCGAAGGAAGAACGATCTCCATAAGCAACGGCGGCCCTCGATGCGAAGTTCGTGAGAGAAGTACTTTCTAAACCTACGGCACTAAGATCGGTATCCCCGACCTCGTATCTGACATCGAGCGTTAAAGTAGATTTACGTAATTCTTTTGGCGGATCCTGAATAGTTTCATTATCGATAATAGTTTCACAATCTGAATTACATTCGCTACTTTTGTTAGGAAAAATAGTGTACGTCACGTTACACCTTCTCATCTTAACGCTACTTAAATCTGGCTTTAGAACGTATTGAATGTAAAGCAGCTTTTTCATTAATTCAGTTTCTATTACTTTTTTCCTCACGAGCTTTGCAAAATACCTCGAGAGCCGCGTATACGGAGGATGATTATAACTCACTCGAGGCATTGTCGGTGATTTCAATATGTTGGTAACTTTTTCTTGAGCTAGAAGCTCAATCCAACGTTGTCTTTCTTCTTTACTTGTACATAATACTGTTATATTTTCAATCATTGGTCCTGCACAAAAAAGAAATAATGTACTTAATATTTATTTATACATATGTATAAATAACCATACCCGTTATTTCAAAAGCATTCCTTATTTCATCGGTGTCCTCTGTTGCCAATACATTAATGCCTGTCAATGGAAGCTTTCCCTAGAAATAATTAAATGTACATAGACAAATTCATATAGAAATTTTGTAATAATTTTAGTACCTCATAAATAAAAGAACTCATTCGTGGACTGGTACTCAATACTAATAACGTAGCAGGAAATAGAACGAAATATCTGTCTCTTTTATCAACTCCTGTTGCTAGCGTAACAGATCCAACATGAAGAATTTCACCGAGAGAACTTAACTCTTCTCCTTCCCAACCTTTAATACCACTAGTCAATACCTGTAGTGCTAATTCACGCTGTTTACGTATTGAAGAACAAGACTCCTGTTAACGATATCAATTAATAATAGAATCTTTTTCTATAGACAGTTTTTGATCTAATTTAATCATAAATATCAATTATACCGCTATTTCTCTATAAACTGCTATACTTCGTTGTGTGTCTCCTCTATCAGGATGATTTTTCTCTGTGTATCTTTCTAATTCTTGTAGCATAGCAGAGTACTTGTCTAGTCTTCTAAATGGCTTACTAAGGCCTGTAGTTAAAACTAATATACCAGGGGTAATTGCACCACTATCTTCCATAAATTCATTTAATTCATCTCTGTAAAAAATCATTCTTATATGTAATAGCAATCACCACGAAGGAGAAGAAGAAAAATAATAAGAAAATTATAAAATATAATTATCTTCTTACCTGTATCTATCAAGAATGCAGACAGCTTGCGGATGATTATTGCAATATGCAGTATGAATAGATTTTAATCTCGGAGCAAGTGTTAAAAACAAATTTCCTATTCTACCAGCTACGCCTTGTAAAATGGTATTCTCTAAATTCGTAAAAAGACGCTGATGCATTTCCAACACCTCGTGTATGTTACCTAATAATTGTTTGTACTCTTCCTTTTTTAATCTACGATTAAATTTTACTCGATGCAATCATTTGTAACGAATGACATGAGAAATATAATGTCAGACAGATAATATTAGATGACAAGGAACCTACATATTTGATGATTCTAGCGGTTGCAAAAAATTAGTAACTAAGCCTTGTAATTCTGCTACGTTAATTCTTTCCGAATCAACTATGTCTTTTATTACTATATCACGATTGAGTTTTTGATGAACAGGTGACTCCGGTAGACCTTTTTCTGAAGAAACTTTAACGGAAGATAATCCATTATCTACAATGATATAAATCCTTACGTAACAAAAATTTAATATCAAATGTGGATATAATATTATCATTCTTAAATACAATTACTTATTAATGTAGATATTGAATCGAATACATAAGAATGATAAACCTCTCACCGGGTACTCGATGTTCTTTAACATAGTTGGATGGAAACCATCCGGTCTTATCGTGCAATGTACCCTCCCACCAACCTTCATCATCTGTTTGAGTTATGGTTATTATATCACCTTTCTTAAAACATAGCTGTAAATGACAATCTAAATTTGAGTATATCAAGCATATTAGATTGACTTATTCATAAATGATTTGTTCTAATAGATAAGATTATCTCATAAACATACTTCATCGTTATTCTTTCCTTTGAAGGAAAATAGTGCTGTCACAAACTTAGGTGCATCAGGCTTTGACATAACTATGGATGTTTTAGGAATATCTTCTCGTTAAATATTCAAAATACGAGTCACAGCATTTAAACATGCGAATATTGCAGAAAACTCCAAACGTTAATGTATCATACCAGTTTTATGCACTTATGATAGTAAGTGCAGTGACAGTAGAATTCACTACTTAAAAAAGATTCTATTATTTACATTATTATAACAATACCAGAAGGCTATTTTATATCCATTAATAAATATGACACATTATGATTTTAATTAGGTCCAATCACACTGAATTCTATCTATATAATGCTTGTAAAGTGCAATTGCAGACATTACATTTATATATCATGCCAACCTATACTTGCCACACAATATTCTATAAATAACTCGGCCTTTGCATCACATGACCATGTTTATTGGTATTCTCTTGACAGCGCCATGCTCATGGAATGACACTAATTCTTAGCATTCTTTTACTTTTTTTTTCTACAAATTTTTGTTTTAATAATTATTAATAACAAAGCTACAAAATCTGATAAATTCTATATCATAAAAGAAAAAGCTTTATTCTGTAATTTATAAAAATAGCTTAAAATGTTGATTTAATATTTTATCTATTTCTTTTTACATTTAGTTTTTTTTTAATTATGTCAACAAAATACAAATAATAATAATAATATTTATAATCATTCATTATGCATGTAAATATATTTCTTAAGAAAATATCTAAAAACATAATGTTTAATTAATTTGAAAATATCCAATCACGAGGAAAAATAATCCACCAATAAGAACGTAGGATTTTAACCGCTGACCAATTAGAACGTTAGATTCTAAGCTGATAAAATTTATTACGAGGGAATAATCAAATGAAATAGTGTTTAAAGTCAGTTAATTATATTTGAATTTATACACATTTATTTATTTTGTTTACCCTGTAATTTGTGAAAAAGAAACTTCGTTTGCATTCTTATGCATTTTAAAACATACAACAAGTGTAAGTATCAATAATGAGTTTTAAATGAATTAATAATTTATGTGTTATATAAAATAAACTTTAAGTTAATTTTTTTGTTAACCTATTTAATAGATTTTTTTTTCAAAAATATAAGAGAAATAATATATATATATTATTAATATAATTAATATATTAATTTTTGACTAAATTTTCTGAGAAAATTAATCTCAGTACGAATATTACATTTTATTTATTAAAAATCACTAATTTTTGTGAATACACAGATACTTTCTTTCATTATATACATTACATACACATTATCGTTAGAATATTATATATATATATATATATATATGTGTATATATATATGTTTTTTATATACATAGGTAGTGGAAAATAAAAAGTTCGTGCCTTTTAGCAGTAATTTCGATGATCGTCATAGCAATCTTCACACGTCCATTTTACTACTACGTCTTACGTCGGAATCGCATTTGTAAGTTTAAACATAAATTCATTTCTTTTTTTTTTTTATTCGACTTATATATTTATTTATATATAAATGTACTGCACATATCGTAATTCGTATGTAATTTAAATAATTCGTTTAAAAATCCAAAGTACCACACACATATTATTGATAGAGTTCCAATTTTTTTTTATGGGGATTTAAGTTAAAGATTTCATATAAAAAAAAAAAAAAAAAAAAAAAACAATTTTGTACGTTTTTGTATGCGTTAAATGTTTTTATCTCTGACAATAAACTACTATAGGATCTTAGATGAATTTTTTTGAACTTTAAACGAAGTATTTTGGTTACGTACGCTTCGGAATTATGAACATTTGTGTTAAACGAATTTAATTAAATTCGATTATATTTTGTTGTCCTTTACAATCGTAGTCAATTTTAATTCTGTTATTTTTTTTTTTCTTTGTTCTTCTATTACTTCTTCGCGTTAGTTAAGTTATTTTAAGTATGTTATATTTAAAAATTCGACGTGACATAGAATATTATTTTCTATTCGAAGAAAAACAAAATGGACGAAGATAAAAATGTATCGTAAAAATTCATCGAAATGTTTACGTTTATTTCGAACAACAATGTTTGTCCGGGAAAAATGTACAGTGAAAGAGTTTTTCCATTATTACGTTGTAATATATATTATCTCCGAAATTAAATAAAAACAAGAAAAAAGAAAAAAAAAAAAAAACAAAGTATGTACGTGCGAGAGTAAAACCAGTTTTCTATCTCCACCCCGTTAATTAAAGAATATTGCCTCGTTCTCCCATTGGCTACGATCGTTTATCTCGCACTTCTTTAAAAAGAAGTATTTTTTTTTTCTTCTTCTTTTTTTTTTTCAAAGACATTATTTTGCATTTCGAAACGCAAATATCGTCGGACATAATTTAAATTTGTAACGAGGATACGTTTAAATCTCTTCCCTCTTTCGATTTGGTAAATCACAGTTTTTTTCTTTATCTTTTTTTTTTTTTTTTTCTCTAAGTATCAAAGTCGAATCGATCATTAATTTCTTCTTAGGTTTTATTATTTTTATTTTTATTTTCTCCAATCGTTATTATTAAGAACGACAATTAATCGAATCCATGGTTCGTACGGATTGTGTTAAAAAAATATCTTAAATGTGCACGCGTGAGTCTGCATATGTATGAATGAATGTGCTCGCGTTTGCTACGTGTACGTACGTGTGCTTATGTGTGCTTGTGTATGCGTATAGAGGTATTGTCTATTAATTTTTATTTTTCCACGTGACGAATGAATTTCCGATCAAAGAGAAAGATGGTTCGTTCTCATTTTTCGTTACAATCGATATTACACGATAAATACATCAATGAAAAAAGAAACGTATTTTTTTTTTTTTGTTTTTTTTTTTTTTTTTTTGTTAAGAAAAATCAAGCGAAGTCGTGAATACGAGCCTAGGAATCGTAATTAGGTACATGATTACCTTGCTCGTTTCTTTCGCCATCATAATCCGTTGGTCATATAGAATGTTGAGGGGGTGGTAACATAATTTCGTAACCCGTCGGCATA